CTGTCTGTGGACTTACTGTTTGTGGACCACATCTTACATTGTTATTACATTATAAAATTAATATCAAGCAAACTTTTGTCATAAATTTTATATATACATTCATTTATAATTACTTTATTTTTGAACTGCTTTATTATCTTTTCATTTGCAAGATTATTCTTTATTTTAAATATTTAAATATTATATTGTATTGTAATTATTAATTTATAAAGCTTATTGTTTTAAAGTTTTTAACTTCCTTAAGCGTTTAAAACGTTTCTCATGACTAGTTGTAGGTGAAAGAGGAAGTAAAAATGTGAATTACGCATCTTAAATTAAAAAAAGAGAACATGACATCTAAAATCTATAAAAAAGAATATACTATAATATTTTTAATATTATAAGATTCTTTATAATCTTGTAATAATTAGATTATAAATACTCAAATAAAAGAATTTCGGTTAAAAATAACATCCAAAGAAATACTCTAAATATTTTATTTTTAATAATTTCTTTTAATCTTTCACCGTATTTTTTATTATTTTAAAGTCATAAAATATTACTAGTTATTGTGGAGTAAATTTGAATATTAAAAAATATGACATAAATTATTATGAATAAATAATAAAAAAATGATTTTTAATATATTTGATATAATCTTTATAAAATGTTGTTATTAATATAATATAATTGGAATTATGTGATTACTAAAACTTTATGCGATTGCATACCTATGAAATCGGGAAAATAAATATATTTTATAATAATTTGAAAATAATTTATCAAAATATTAATTATAAAATCAAGTAACTGAAGTTGCGTACTAATTTGAACTAACTTATTTGAATAATAATACTATTACAAAAAGTTTTATGTAATAACATTTTTACCAACATATATTATTAGCAGACATTTATTTATTGCGCATATTAATATTTTAACTATTTTCTTGAAATAACGAAGTTTTTATTTAGTGAAATAACCAAATTATACGACGATAAAGTATTATTTCACTTTATAATTTTCGATAATTGATTTCCGACTTATCTGAACAATATAAACAGTTTTTTAGCAATTCTAAAAAGTTTTTTTATTTTTAATACATATTATCTATTGATTCCAGAAATAACAAATCTTGTCAAAAATTTGTATTGAAAATATTAAGTAAAGGACATTTTCTGTTATTTGTACACCAAATATATATGCAAATTTTTTTATATGTATCGTTATTTTTTGTAAGTGGAGTGTCGAATTATACAAATAAAATCAGAATTCTTTATAAATATTAGCAATATTTATTTTATTGCTATTTTATTGCTATTATACAAACTCTATTTTATTTTATTTTATTTGAATATGAAATATTGTGCAAGTCGTTACATGTCTTAATAAAGAATTAAATAAGATATTTAATAACATGTATAAGTGTCAATATTCGTTTCATTATGTAAATTATAAAGAATTTTAAAAAATTATACACAATAATTGCAATAAAAATTTTCAACAAGTAATTTTATTAGATTAATATTAATAAATAATATTTTTTTGTACAAAATCAATTGGTTGTGCCACGAAAAATCAAAATATGTAGTCACCAAAAATATAATACTATTGATAATAACTTAAATTATTAGGATTTATGTAAATAGTCAATGGTATACTTTATCTAACATATAAAAAATTTAAATTTAAGTAACTTAAATGTAAGTTTTCGATTTAAAATAAAATATCGCTTTAGTGGCAAAGCGAATAAAAATTTAGAGAACATAATTTAACTAAATCACAGATACTTAATTTAAGATGACTTTACTCAAGCGCCATCATCATTCTTCCTTTGACACATACTAGCATTTAGATGCTAGTGAAAGCTCCTGAACCTGCACTTCCTACCTGATTCAAGTAGCCTATGTTCAAGTAGTCTATAATCGTATATAATGTCTAATGTATAATAGCATATATAATAGTATATATATATAATAGTAATATAATATAATATAATATTAATATAATAATAATATAATATATATAATATAATATATATATACTATATATATGTGTATATATATATATATATATATATGTACGTACGTCTGTGTGTGTGTATGAACAATATTTTTATAGTGTATCCTATTTTTTTATAATATATTGAAGATAGTTAAGGCTATTTAAGTAATCGAGTTTAACGATATAAAATAATAATATAATTACAAATAAATTTTTTTTTATTTTAATGAAAGATAATAACATTATAAATTTTATAGAAATAAATATATGATTCTATTATGAATATTACAGTCTTTTTTTAATTTTATTAATTCATTGTATGTAAAAAGTATAGATACTATAAATAGTTTGAAAACTATAAGATATTGTAATATTGTTATTGTATAATTCTTAATAAAATTCTTTTATATATAATGCAAATAATTCATTTTTATTTCACTTTTTATTTTTATGATATAATATTTATAGAAATATTTAATATTTAATTATATATTAAATATTATACATAATAAATAATCAGAATAAAACACCGATAATAAATGTTTATCATTTCATTGTTAACAAACAATTATCTACTTATAATATTTAAATAGAAATAAAAAAGAATTTTACTTTTATCAAAGTATAAGTAAAACTGGAAAATTCTTAATTATATTATTCGTTATTATTCAAAGAGTTAATTATTTATAACTTACTATTTTTCCAATTTTAGACAAGTATTGAACATATACGAATATAACCTTAATCTGTTAGTAAAATCTTTATATCCTTAAAATTACATCTGAACTTAATAATTAACACATTTTTTACTGTGAGATTTTTCAATGATTATAAATAATATTTAGAATAGTTAAATACAATAAATTTAACAATAATACTATTGATTAAAAAATATTATTTCAACATATCCTGCATAAAATTTTATAAAAATAAGAACTCGTGTTGACTGGGCATTACTATTCATTTGATTTATTTTGTTTTTTGTATCCTTTTTTTATTACATGCTTCTAAATTTTTATGAAATTTATTTGCTGTATTCTTTAAATTAATTAATTTTTATTTTACATAAAAGAAATTCGACATGTAATTTATCAAAATTTTTTAAATTGTTTATAATATAAAAAATTAAATGTAAAAATAATCAAATATAATGAAACAGAGCTACTTTTCGAAATAATAGTAGATTCAACAATTATACGTAATATTTTTAATTAAATTTTATTGAAAATATAATTAATTTTATATAAAAAATTATTCATAAATATATCAGTTCATACATAAACTACTCTTAATTACATATATTTAAACATGTATATAATGATATGTATATATAATTATGTATATAATTTATGTTTCGTAAAAAATTTGTATGAGATATATAATTAATTTAATATTTAATTATGTGTAATGTACAATTGAGAAATATTTATAAATTTACATTATGGATCTTAAAATAAAAATTATAATAAAACAATTCAACAATACTATTAATCTATATGATTTATATCATGCAAATGAATTAATAAATATAATTCAAAATATTATTGTAGTAAAGTTATTAAATATAAAGTAATTACTAAATGGTAAATTAATAGAATAAAAATATTTAATATCATTTTATAAATTCTGTTGCAGGGTTACAATAAATAATGTTTATAATCATACTCAAATATTTATTTTATTATTTATTATGTACTATAATTAATTGAAAGAAATATAAGGCATGCATTTTGTTTGCATGGAAGTATAAAATACATTATATATTTATTATTTGACAGAAACAAATTTCATAACTTTTGACGCCATATTTATAATAAATTAATTAAAAAAATGTAATAAAAATATTTAATAGACTTTGTTTTAACAAAAATAGGCATTCAATTCAAGATCATATATTGAATATGAAACAAGAATATGAATTATTGAATATGAAACAAGAACAATAAATTCATCGGTTCAATCATGTGGACAAAATAAATAGTTGAAATCGGATAAAAATGAAGAATTTAATAAAGCAAAAAAACACATTCTGAATGTACTTATAGAATATATGTGTTACCTGTAGTAGTGATTGATTGAACAATTAATTATTATATAATTATTTATAATTGATTTTCATACGCTAATATACACATTTGCATTCACAGTTCATTCAACTGCTCTCTCTCTCTCTCTCCCTCTCTCTCTCTCTCTCTCTCTCTCTCTCTCTCTCTCTCTCTCTTTCTCTCTCTATATATACATATTTTTTTTATTACATAGCTAAAATTTGAATAACAATATACTTCATTTCCGCAAATCAATTAAATTACAATTTAAAACTAATTTTAACCTGTATTACAAAATGTGTTATGTTCATTTTCATTTTATTACTATTTAATAATTCAAGATGATGCTATTACTTCGAATATAATACATGTTTGTATTACATTATGTATATATAAAAATTAAAATACAATTACAAAAGTATATAAAATAATTCTGGAAAAATGAAATAATAAAGCTTCAAAGATTAAAATATTTTTATAATATTACTTTATAAAACCCATACACAAAGTTTTAAGTTTCGTGTTCTAGATTACTAGCTAGTAGACACACACGCATAAATGCATGTATATACATATAATAAAAGAGAGATGCTTAAAAAGTAAAAAAGTAATTGAACTAACGTCTACATATATACAATTAAAAATTTATATTTTACAATATTAATCATATTTATCTATATTTATAATAAAAAATACGTACGAATGAAATACGCTTATTGAATTTATAATTTTCACTAGTTCAGTAAAACAACTTATTTGAAATCTGACATTTAGATATTAAAATTAAATATTTGTGTACGGTATTAATAATGTATAATTTTATTATTTAAGGAAGTATTAATTTTTACCTATTACTTTATTTATTAATCCTACATTTTTATAATGTGTATTTGGTTTTTTTTTTTTTACAAAAAAATGTATAAAACTGTAATTAAAATCATCAACTTTTGCATATAGAATCATTTCTTTCAGGATCTTCAGTTGGAAATTGAAACACATCATGATGTATATTCGTCACTTAACGGTACCGGACGAAAACTTTTGAGCTCTCTTGCTAGTCAGGATGATGCAGTAATGCTCCAGAGACGCCTTGATGAAATGAATCAGCGATGGCATCATTTGAAGGCAAAAAGCATGGCTATTAGGTAAGCATTATATTTTTCATTTGTACAAAAAAACGCATTCCACCATTAATATATCTATATCAAACTGAATAAAATTGAGGTAGTCGATTGATTAATTTTATTTTCATTTGAGTTACTAAAAGTTAGGTAAATTTATTGCAATACATCAGTCCCGCATAGAATAATATATTTTTTTTTCTATATAAAGAGCAAATTTTAAATATTGTAAAATGTAATAACAATTTAAACTTTTATATTTTCAGTGCTTTTTCAATAAGGATATTGTTATTAGTCCCATCTTTAATTTTTTATTTTCTTTGTATTTGAATTTAAGTTTCAAACAATTATTCAAAACATTACTTTGGTTTTATTATTCCCCAGTGACAAATATGCTAGTCAAGGTATTTTTGACTAATTTTTGTAATTTATTTGTCATTTACTGTTTCGTGTTTATTTATAATATTTCAGAATTTAACTAGTCAATTATATAAACCGTTTTTACAATCATTTATTTAAATAATTTAATCATTTTTCGGAAAATATTTAAAATACGGAAAGTAAATATTAGTTTTATAATTGAATAAAAATATTATCAATAAAGCCCAATTAGATTTTTGGAATGTTCAAATATATAATTATAATTTAATTAATTGAAATTATTATTTAAATTATTATTTCATAATGTTATAAATGAATCTGTTTCAATGGAGATAATCATAATAATAAATCCTTAATGCTTTTATAAATGCATCAATGATATTTAACCAAGAACTTTTTTCTTATTTGTTCTTATTTTTTTCTTTCATTAAATACTTTATCGCTTTACTGGCATAAAAATAAATTATATAGATTATTATATTTCTGCCCTATGTATAAATATTCAAGAAGATTTTATTCTTGTATTTATTACACAATTTCATTGTTAAATTTTTTAAAAAGTTTAATATAAAAATGAATACCCAATGTCAAATCCTTGTTGATTAATTTACTAAGTTGTTTGTATTTCATATACATTCTTAGCTATATCTTGTAATGATGCATGCTATCTTGAGAGTAATATATTTTTCAAAAATATTGATATAAAGCATGGCTGAATACGATTCATTTGATGAAGATGGAATAATTGCGTATGTTAGAATGAAAATAAAGACAAAAAATGTAGTAAAGAATAACGAAGTAATAATAAAACAAGTTCTTCAATACGGTGCAGAGGCTTGAAGTATAAGATAGTAAATTACGATATGTTCTAAAGACATCCAAACAAAATTATATCTAAAGTTGTAAAATATTTTTCAAAAAAAGATAAATAGTTGAAAAATGGAATACAGTCGATACAAAAATTCGAAAAACATGTGTACAGGACCCAGTTTAGTCCCACTGTCCCAGTAAAGTTTTGTACAATATTCATAGCAAATATTAGTAAATATCATAAGAATTTTTGGTTTGAATACGCTTGCATACATGTATGAAGCACTCTTAAGTATAAGGGGCATGTGAAAAAATAATTTACATATAACTTTTCCTATTATACTTGTTATTTCACTGGAATATTATAGTCCTTATTTGTTTTGTTTTATACCATCGAATATTTTACGTAAACATCTTTTTGTGCAATTTTTTCGATTTTTCAAAAAATAAAAATGTTAAAACATGAATATTTATTATTATATTGTATTTGTTTGGGATTGAAGCAACTTCCAAGACCGTGACATCGGCATCGCTAATCTCTGTGCTCTCAATTTTCTGTAAACACTAGGGACGAGAATTTTTCGTGCACTTGTTTTGTTTTGGTTTCTATTGTCCTAAAATGTTTATAGTCTTGAAGTAATAACATCACTTTGAATTTTCCAAATTTCTCTGGCCTTGTTTTTTCTTAGAATTCTCGAAACTTCTAGAGTTTTCTATCTGCGCCTCATATAAGATTCCAGCGCTGCAACAACGATGCTTTGTTGCTGGCTAAGTAAGCAGCCGCGTGGATATATAAGGCAAGCAGGCGACGAGCCTAGCTCTTTCGCATTGAAAAACTCGTGCAGTGAACTTACGCAGTAAACATCAATCCTTCAGTTTTCCTGTTGTTCAGTTTTCCTGTTCAGGCTTGTAGGCTCACGGTAAATTTCTCAATCAATTAGTTATCAGTTATCACTCTATAAAGCAACCATATTACGCTATATAATAAACAGTCAGTTTTACTCATTATACGTACGTATTTAGCCAGACTCAGCAACAATAAGTTAGTAAACCAAATACAGGGAAACCAATACATTTACCTGTTTTAAGTGCGCTATAGTTCAAGCAGTCAAGAGTGCTAATGCGTTCCAAAAAAGTTCAGGAAATAAGAAGTGTAACACCTGCGCGATCATCACAGAATTAGGTAAGACGAATAAAATTTTCGTGAAATCAATTAATAGAGAAACCATTTATTGAATGCACTTACGCGCCAGCCACGTTCGGCATTATTGAAAGCACGAAGGCATTGAAGGTACGAGTGGCACCCGCCGAGATAGGCATTATATGATCGCAAAGCTCTCGCGAACGGTTGAAGGTGTACGAACAAAATACCGACTACAAGGGCATTTTTGAGGCGCGAGCGCGCCAGCCGTCACTGGCATTATACAAAAAAGTACTAGAGATTTACGACCTCTTACTTTCAGTTTAACCATTTACTATCAAGCGCACTAGGTCAAGGATCAGAAGATTTACAACCTCCTACCCCTGCATATAGTGCATGCTAACGCCACGTGATCATTACCACCTAACTGCAAGATCTCGCAGATTCTCAACATCATCTTAGAATCATATTCATTGTGTAATCTGTAAATAAAGGAAAAAAACAGTAAGACACGCAACTGTATTAATTGTTGAATAAATACGCTAACCCTTCCACTTGCTGCAATCCTCCCACCGAACACCTGGAAGTTTTTAGTCTAATTCTATACAGCATTATTATGTATTTTTCTAATACTTTTAAATTTATTTAACAAAATGTTTCAATGTATTCTCATATTCTACATAAAAACTAATGAAAAAGAGGACAAAAAAATTATTTTATCATAAAATTTAATTAAAATTTCCATTTTCTTAACAAAGAAAATGCCATTAATTATTTAATTCTTATTAGATAAATATTTAAATAAATGTAAACATTAAACAAAATAAAATTACACCTGATAAATATTATTATAATTCAAGTTCCAGGTCCGATATTAATAATTTTTTTTAGAAAAATTAAATGTTTATAGAGAAAAATAATTATTTTTAAATATTCCATAAATACTAATATAAATTCTAAGATTTATTTAAGATTCATAATCTGATAGGAATAATTAAGATGTTTTATATAAACTTTAAGAAAGAATATTTCTATTATGACTATTAATATTAAAATAGATTAAATCTTAACTATTTCAAAGAAACTTAGTCATTAGTAATTATAAATTATATTAATAAACAAATAAAATAATTTAAAATTTTAATATTTTAGTAATTCATAGATCGATATATAGTAATGTACCTTTTGTTCCATAAATTATCACCGTCATTAGATCATAAAAACGATACTTGTGTTTATTGACTCCATATTTTTTCAGAATTTCAAATGTGTACATACAATCAGTAATGTTATACAGCCATAAATTATTTTCTATATTATCATAAATTAAACAAAAGCTCTTGTATACTTTAACCTTAATATATATTTAAGTATATGTTTAAAAACATTTAATCGTAGATTAAATATATCGTTATTAGATATATAAATTTATTGATTTCACGTCCTTATATTATTAATATACTATAATTTGAATTGAATTAAATAGAATTTACAATAAGTAATTTTAATATTATTAACTTTCTTCAATTTTAATCTACAATTCATATATATTATAAACATAAAATAAAAATATTTTTCGATTTCTGTCATTGTATTAAATATTTTTCCATTAGCAATAATTTTTCTGTTACACATTAGTTTTCTATTTATTCCTTTAAATACTACAAATTAATAAAAAATTATAACAATTACATTTTATAAATTTTATATTTATTTACAGAATATTCATATAACAATTTATTATCTAAAAATGTTACTTTGTGGACTTATGTAATTTTATATTTTACGTAGTCTTAATATTGTTGTACTTCACTACATTCCTGATAGTATGAAATATTAAAATAAATTCTAAATATATTAAAATACAAAATTGAACATTTCTTCAGTTATGGATATACTCGAAATGATAAGAAATAAACTAAGTGGAGCTGTATAAATAAAAAGCATATTTAATGACACTTTTTATTTAATGCGATCAATAGGATTAAATAATAATTAATATTTATAAATATTAGGACACATCGTTATAAATATCCATGAATTATATATCTTATCAATGTAATAAATATATATACATTTATAAATTTGTTATAGCGCTTGTTTGATACTTGTAATTGTAAAAATCCATTTCTAATAATATTAAACTATATTTTATAATGGTAAAATATAACAGACCACTCAGATTATCTCCAGTTACTCTCCTTTCTTTCCAAATGAAGCAATATTCCACCATTTGTAATATCCAGTAACTATCAAAATTAAATGCTCGATATCGTTATAGGAATCGCCTAGAAAGTAATACCGAACATTGGAATGCGCTTTTGCTGTCCTTACGCGAACTTATCGAATGGGTAATACGAAAGGATACTGAATTGTCTGGCCTGGGTCCAGTCTGCGGTGATATTGGAGCCCTTCAGAAACAGCAGGTACATATTGTTCCTAATCCCGTCTGCAAGTCTGCAAGATATATGTACAAAACTGGTATACATAGATGTACGATATTGCATATATATATATATATATATATATATATGCAAATGTTTATATATAAAAAAAAATTAGTTATTCTTATTCTTCATGTCCTAAAACCTCTGAAAAACTTGCACATAAGAACAAATATGAAATGTGTGTAAACGTTAACGATAAAAGAGAATATTACATCGGTTTTATATATTTTTACTTGTTTTTATTGGATTTCTGTATTGAATTATAAATAAATAATATGATTCAGCGAATTTCCCTCATATTTATTTATTTTCAATTCTAATTAATTTTCGTTAAATTTAATTTTGAATATGATTTATTTTAATATACTTCTTTTGATGGTTAATTTTCAACAACAAATAAATTTAATTAAAAACAATTTATTACGATAGATATGCCCAAGTAGGAAAAACAAATAATGCTACTTACTGATTTTTCTATTGATTTAGATAATGGAAAATTATAATAAAAATTTTTTGTAATACAAATCCGTTTAAATTTCAATCCAAAAAGATTTCAATAACATAAAGAAAATATTTATTCAATTTTATCAAAATTAAATTTTAGTGAAAATTTTTTGTTCTTTGACAGAAATTATTGAATTGCTTTAGTGGCAAGCCTTCCACACATTCGCGTCGTAAAATTACATTCAGTTACATCAATGGAATAAATCTAATATAGCTATTTTCTGTCATATTAATTGAAATTAATATAAATATCACCTATACGTTTTATAATAAATTGTGCATTAGTAATCCCGTAGTTGTCCTTTGAATTGATATGACCGTTTAGAAATATTAATGAAGAATCAAAAACTTTATTATTTAAATAAAAAAACTTCATCAATAATAACTAAATAAATAAAATAAATGATAAGGATTGCGCAGAAATGAACTCGGACCATGATTAAATTGTATTTCCACATATTAACATTTCATTTCTTATTGATATGTATCACAAGAAAAACATTTAATTTGAAAAATATAAGAAGACATTTGAATAGTGTTGCAATTTGTTTCCGATTAAAAAATTCAATCGTAAAAACAAAATTTAATGAAATATATTAACGTATTAACTGTTTAAAATTGTTTTAAAGCAATTTTAAAAATATACATAATTTATACAAGGATATAAATGAAAAATTAATTTTTTAATTTGTATTTAAAATTATCTATAAAATTAACTATTTAAAAGAGTCTTATCTTAATACTACAACCCATATTTTTAAATTATTATTACTTTGTATCTTGGAATATGATATTCCTGTATGAATATATTATTTCTATTAATTTAAATTTCAATAATTAATAAATATTCATTCTATTATTTCGGATGAAACATTATAGATGTGTAAATTAATATTTTGTATATAATAATTAATTTATTCTATGCATACTATAAACTTAATATCCTTATTATTTTAACATCTCATACTATTATTTGAAATAATATTTTGAAAACAAAACGTATTATGTATTGTTCTCAGGATGATTATCGAGGATTTAGGAGACAACTGGAAGACAAGAGACCACTTGTCGAAAACAGTTTGCTTAGCGGTCAACAGTATATTTCAAATGAGCTGGCTTTATCAGATACTTCAGACACAGAAAGTAAGTTCTCTGGACAGCTATAATATTACACGAAACGAAAATAAATGCTCAACATGTGTCTACATTTTAGATACAATTTAAATTGAATTTAATTTTCATTGATTTACTTTTACTCGTTACAGTTCAAGCTATACATTTCATTTCATGTAATTTGTTTAAGATTTACTAACTATTTAAAAATTTTCAATTTACTTGTACATGGACAATTACTTCACATATAATTAATAATATTATTAATATTTAATGTGGTTAAAAACATATATATATAAACAATATATATCAATAATTTTTATTATTATTGGTAATGTGTAATCAGATAAAAGCACTTTGAATATCTTTGAATTTCATTTTTATAATAGACTTTGAATATATAAATATATACAAAAATAATTTTCTAATTATAATTTAATTCATTTAATTTAATATTTAAATCATCAAATAATTATAGTAAATCCAACGATAAAATAATTAAAATGATTTTATTTCAACTCTAACAAATTTAACTTATACTTGCATCACTATGCCTAAAAAAGACATGGAAATTTGGTATCTGTTCATTTCGAAATATTTTGATTTTAAAATATTCATGTGTAAATTAATAGATTTTTTACCCCTTTGTTATAATTTTTATATGTAAATTAGCTAAAATATTATAAATATTATTGATTATATATATCTTTAGCCACAAACGGAGTAGTTATAATTATGGAAAATATTCAACGTTATAGTATAATATTCATCCATTAACATGAGATTTTTGTTGAGATATAATCCTTGGAATAAAGACTTACTAATTAAGTTTTAAAGAATTGATATAAAATTGTATTTTTATTAACATTATTTGACATTATTACAATTAACATTATTATGACAATTAATCGTTCTTTATAGTTTTTTCTTAATATTACAAAACGCTAACTAAAAGAGTGAAGTCTACTTTTGAAAATATAATCTCTTTTTAATAATTTTATGTATTTTTTAGTAAATAAAACCTTAAATATTAATGCTTATTTTCATTTTCATTAATTTTTTAGTCGGTCTAGAGTTTGACGGCAACTCTCGTGGTTATCAGAGTACCGAGGAACAAGCGCGTGAGCTTACAAGTAGCATACGCCGTGAAGTGAGTAAGCTCTCGAAGCAATGGAATGCCCTTATCGAGCGTAGTGACTCTTGGAAGCGAAAACTTGACGACACAGCTACGGTAAGTGTTTATTTATTATGTTTTTAATGAAAGAAAAACTTTATTTATGTTGCATTGTTCGATATTCTTTAATTTTATTTTACTTCGTTTATTTCTTTACACTTCATAAAAATGGATATATTTGTGGCAAGTGCGTTTCATATCTGCATTATTCATTTTGTGTTTTTCAAAATTACGATAATAGAAATACAGTATACAAAATACTATATTACAAACTTTGATCTCAATTTAAACAGTAATCTAATTTATTAGTTATTTCATACACAATTTATTATCAATCAATAACATATAATAAAAATATATTTGAGAACATATTTGTTGTAGATAATTAAAATTCTTTTTAATAGTTATATTTGAAATACACAATACTGTTACGAAATCGTAAAAATATGTATTCCACGTAATTTATTAAAATTTTATAATTATTTTTATAATATTTATAAGCAAATTGATTTAATTATGAATACTAATCAAAATTATTAACAATGTTTTAGTTAAAATGTCTAATTTATTTTTTATTGATATCATCTGTTATATCACCATGAATTATAATTTCATTAAATATACTTTAACATAATTATGAATAAATTGAAAGTAAATTAATATTAATTATATTAATAGTATTTATATTAATAATCTCACAATATTTTATAATAATAGCATATAATGTATATTTATAGAGTAGTCAGATCTAAATTTAATAAACAGAACTATGAAACAATTATAAAAACATATATGTGTAACAAATAGTTACATATCAATATTAATGAATAATATTTTTATTTACTTTGAACAAATATATAAATTTGCTATAAAAATAATTATTCTAATAGTATTTTTAATTCATTTTCAAACGTCCTCAAATAATTTTAATACAGCATAGTCAAATGTAATATCAGAACAATTTTTATAGTCAAAATATAAAGGAAATGTGTTTTTTAAATATTCCTTATAATAATACTATATGTATTTAAATTTAAACATATTTTTCTTATATAATAAATCCTTTAAAAAATCTAACATGTAAATCTATATCAAAGAAATATAAATGTTCTTTATGTCAATAATATTAAAAAATTTTTTATTATTTATTAATGAATTTAAAATAATAAATAAAGTTATTTTGCAGTTCATATAAAGATTTCGATTTTAAATAATTTTTTTTACTTCTAACGAAGGAAGAAATTAAAGTAATTAATGAAAGGAAAAAATTAAGTCGGAAGAAATAAAGTAAAAAATAAATATCAAAATTTCAAAAGAAAATGGAAAATATAATAAATAAAATAATATAATTAAGAATTAAAAATCGCAATAAAAAAAATATTATTAATAATTACTAAATAATTAATTTTTTAATACTAAATTGGTGATTTGATATAAAAAATTAAAATATCAATTGCAAGATAACTTATTTGAATAAATATTAAAGAGTTCATTTGTTACCCGATCACGTTTTATTCGAATAACTACTCGTTTAGCTTGATTAATAGATATAATTAAATATAACTATAATTTTTGTTCAATTTTGTCAGTGTATAGTCTCAGGGAACAACAATATATCAAAGCCATTTATAGTGTTATAAGTACAAATATACATCCAAAGACATTAAGCTATCCTAGAACGTTTTCATAATTCAAATGCATTGAAGCTTTGTATATAAATCAACCTATTATCTGCTAATTTTGAGACTCGATGTAAAATTGAATTTCTATTGTTTAAGATTATCTTATTTATTATTATTATAAAAATTAATGATAGAACAACAGTAATTTATGTTTAATTAATTAGTCATTTGGGTATTCTCAATCGATCAGTAATTTCATCGATTTTTATTTAATTTATCCTTATTCGAAACGAGTACTTCTTATTTTCATAATAATATAATTGCCTATTTGCGTTTTTTAAAAGAAACTTTGATAGTTTATGGATTATTGTATAATTCTAAAATATAACGTAATTTTATTTTTATTATATTCGTTTTAAAGAAATTGTTTGTATTATTTCTATTATTTGAACCAACCGATACAATGAAACATTTTAAAAGAATGAATGAACAGCAAATACTAAAACTAATACCGTAGTACTAATATGAAGAAAATATCGGATATTTTTCCCTTTTTTTATTTAATATATTCTTTATATATAACTTATTTATTATTTATCTATCTTTTATTTTACTTATATTAATTTTTAAATCCAAATGGTAATTTTTATGGAAATAGAACAAAACTCTAATTTATTAATTAAATGACTAATAAATAATACTATGGCAATACGGGAAGAATACTAGATGTTTATGATCTATAACGAATAAAACAGTTTCATAGTTTTTCTGTTATATGTAATAATATAATTATGTAGCAAGGTGTATTAAATTAATCGCTTTAATAAATATTATAATATTGTTACATTATATTGCAATCTAATAAGCATTCAAATGAAAATCAAGCTATAATTCAGAATGTAAATAAAAAAGGACAAATTTTGATTATCAGATGAAGAATTAGATCTAAAATTATTTTTGAGAATATTTGAATATATTAAAACGTTTTGATGAAGTTATATATAAACTGCTGAGAATTATTGATAAATAACTATTTGTTACTAAAGCCAATGTAGAAAATTTGTTTATTAAAAATAAGTACATAGTCCTCTATGATCTTGATGCAACATCTATTACTCAGAATTTTGTTCGCACAGATCTTTTCATTAAAAAAAGTATTAATCTAATAAGATTTCTATTCTATTAAAAATGACAAAATTAGATACAAATATTATTAAGAAATAAATGAAATATTTCACATAAAAATTCAATATTTTTTTCTCCTACTAAAAATAATAAACGTTAATTATTTTATAATTTATTTAACTGTAATTTTTGAGTAATTGTAATTGTATAGAATAAGATAATATATATTTCGATTCATATATATATATTATCTTATTCTTGTATAAATAATCTTGTATAAATATTTATTTTATAAATTATTTTAATTCTATTTGTTGCATATAAATCGAAATATATACTTTCATAATTCATATATATCTTGAAATATTAGAATAATTATTTTTAAAACGTTGAAGTTTCTTTTTCCAATAAGCACTGTTATGATTTTATATGATAAAATTAATTTATTTAAAAAAATAATTTCATTCCTCGTATGTATAATGAAAAAATTTCTACGTTTATTTTTCTTTTCAGCACAAACAAGAAAGAAAGGAAGACTAACACAAACAATTAAATAGTTATAAATCCCTTTCACCATTTATTTCCAAATGCTTTTTAATGGACATAATTTGTAACTGGAATTATGAACAGAAATTCTTTCTATAATTAATTATTGCGCCTATTATAAAATATTTGGTTGAAAATATTTACGCTTACACTCCGGTCACTTTTACACACTCTTGTCAGTTTTATTGCTCTCTAGACAGTATGTATAAATAAATCCAATATACAAAAGTACTGAATATACAAAAAGCGAATGAATATAAAATTGATATATTTTTAAGCAAAAGCCAAAATTCTAAATACATCCAATATAGAATTTATAGAATAAATTAAAAAAAGGAAAGTCGAAAACAATAACAAAAAATAAATAAATATAAACACTTAGAAAAGTATTGATTCAATAAATTTGTAAAATAAAATTTGTATAATAAGATAAGATAAGAAGACAATATTAATGAAACCATTTAAGGCAAAATTTAAACAATCAGATTAAAAATTAATAAGAATTTATTGAAATTTGGGATTTAATGATATACGTATGAAATATTGTAATTTACATTTTACTTTTACATGTTTTTGTTAAAAATTATCAGTAATGCAGATCATGAATTAGAACAAGAATGTGTTATTACATTTTATTTTAGCAAATTATGACCGTAAATTGTTAACATACATGTACAGTAATACATGTAATGTATAAGAAAAATATAATCATTGTAAAAGCTAAATTTAAGTATAAATTATGTATTTCGCTAAACAAGTTTTAAAAATTTTAATTCATTTAATTAGGAAATTAATTCTTATATTTTTTGGATTTTCAAATAAATATTATTTAGAATTTATTAATACTACTAATTTCAATATCGTGTGTAATAAGATTAATAAAAATTTCTCATTTTACTATGGAATTAAATTATATACTAGTTCTTTTATAAAAATAAAAATAATAATAATAAAAACAATAATAATAATAATATATGCAAATGTATTCATGAATCTTATACAATTATATAACAGAAAATGCAATGTATAAAGCGAATGAAAGTTATAAAATTCAAAAATTTAATTCGAGCTTTACAAGATATTATTTATGATTTAAATAATATTTCAGTTATAATTTTTAAAATAATTCAGTTATATATGCAAAGTATATAAATTTCAAAATTGTATAATTATGTATTCTAAGATATACTGTAATATACATTTTTAAATATTTTTAATATTTGGATTTTAAAAATTCATTAATTTATTAAAATGATTTCGGAACAAATTTTCATTATTAATTACATACCCTTTTTTAATTAAAATGATTCAATTTTAATGTTTACTATTGATATACACATATATGATTATACTTTTACATAAATATTTATATCTCTTGTAAAATTACTTATATAGAATAACAATAATTTATTATGTATGAAATAAAAACAGCTTTATTATATCAAAAAAATATAAAATGAATAAAAATTTGTTCATTCATATCTTATATTAATTGAATATGAATTTCAATTTATAAGATATAAAATTGAAGCGCATATTAAATTCGTTTTTATTCTTGTAGGAATAATATTAAAAAATTAAATGAATTAATATTACAAAATAAAATAAAATTTATAATGACATATAATAATTCAATTTAATCTCCTAATAAATTAAACATTTTTAATTATAACAAAAAATTATTATTCGAACTTATTGATAATGAGTCCATAACAATAGATTCATAAAACCATTTTACAGGTTAATTTTATACAATATAATATA